CGAGGGGACGTGGGTGCGTGGTGGCGTGGGGGCAGAGGGGGCGTGGGGTCCGAGGGGCTGGGGGCCTAGGAGGGTGGAGTAGGACTCGGAACTTAAAGCCCTGGCGTTTGCCGGAGTCGATCGTGAACTTGCAGGGAGAGACGGCCCTCAGCCAGTAAGTTCTGTATCGCCCCCCACACCCACACATCCACACATTGCTAGCTAGAGGAATGCGCTGGAGTAGGACCAGCGCTGTCAAAGAAGGAAAGGGGGCCAAGGCGCCAAAGTCCATTAAAACGGAATAGAGCCGTCACTGAGTGGTGCTGCTCCATTCATTCATTCATTTGTTCACCGGTGTAGCAAGTATTTCTTAAGTGCCTTGCTCTGCGAAGCTGCGTGCTTGGCACAGTGGAATGATACCAAAGATGCACAAACAATTTTTAGGACCAAGACTTTGCTGCTGTGGGCTGGGGGATTCAGGGAAGGCTTTCACAGAGCAGCTGAAATGAAAGCAGGATCTTGAAAGGTCAGCAAAATTTGTATACGACGAGGAGACCGCCTAAGCTAAAGATATTCATTTTAACACTGTAATAGCAAAACCTTGAAAACAACGTAAATGCCCACCCTCAGAGGAATGAATAATGTATGGTATACTTATAAAATGAAATGCAACACAGCAATTGAAAAGACTATACTCATGTATGTCAATAGGGATAAATCTTAAAAACTAAATGATAGTGTAAAAATTGCAAAGGGAGACAAAGTATACCATTTATGTATTTTTTCAAAACAATACTCCACATTTTCTGTGGATGCGTATATATAGGTATAAATATTAAAAGACTATAGTAGTTAATTCCAGGGCAGGTGAGTACGGGGCGTGATTAGGCCTGGGTACAAGTGGGCTTCTAAGAAAAGAACTAAAAGTAAGAACAACAATAGTTGTATGGACATACCATTCCAGGAGGGAGCCCTCCTGAGAGCAAAGGTACAGTCAAAAGAGTAAGTAAATGAGTTTGGGCCCTGTCAGCAGTGAGAGGAGTCAAAGAGGGAAAGGGAATTGGGACCAAATTATGCAACCTTCAATGGCAAGCTGAAAGGGTGGGGAGGCAGCCACCTCTCAGGTCATAGAAAACTACTGAAGCTTTTGTTTTTACAGAGTTAAGACTCATGGAAAGGAAGGTTGGTCTGATAATCCTGTACAGAGGTGGTTGTTGGGAGCGAGAGGTGAACTGGAGCCCCAGGACCAGTCAAGTGTTGGTGAAACAGTCCAGGCACAGACTGGAGAAGACCTGATCTAATTAGGTAGATTTCAGAAGGAATGGATCTGAAACAATCCTGAAGAAA